GGCGAAATGAGTGGGTTGCCATCAGGGGCACGTGACTACTCATAAGCCATTAGACCACGCGAGACAGGACCTGCCACTAGGCCTCCACAGAGTCCCGGTTGTCGTTCGTTGCCCATCTCCAGGGCGAAGCAGAGGAGACCATCAAGGATTGTCGCTGGTAATTGTTGACTAATTGAGCCGAGGCATCGGAATCGAAGGCCAGAGTCCTGCCAGTGATTTAGAGCGCGCTTAGCAGTTTGGACATGTGTCGTGTCTGCGGCTGCTAATGAGCTGCAAATCGTGAGGTCCTGCGTACGTGCAGGAGTCCTTTTTTGACACACATAAGGCCTTACGTGAGGAGGCTTGGGTCAGTCTTGCATGCCATGAACTGGGCTTGATTAACCCCTTAAAAACGTAGACGAAGATTAAATCAAAACTATTTGCATATGTATATGAAAACTTATTCTCTTCATAAAGCAATGAACCTAATTTTAAACTTAGCTCATCTTGTATTTATAAAGCAATTTACTCTGCACATTTATTATTTTAGTTTGACGTACATGTGCTGCTCCTTTTCAAATGTTTCCATTGCCCTCACAAAAGTCATAAAAACTTTAATTCAATAATTCAACCACTTAAACCATCATACAACCAACAACCGACTATTAAAGGACATTTTTATTGCTGAGTATTAAGTGTGCCAATGGCAGTGTAGTCTGGTTCTAATTTCGGCTTTAGCTGTCGTTTTGGCACAAACAAAAAGCTAAACTGAACTGAATGTTTGGTGGCTTTTCGCTGCTTTCACTTTTCACTTTTGAGTTGGGATTGTTACACAAATGGAACTCACTGAAAGAAAATCAATTAACTAAAGCAAACACGCGGCTACGGCAACAACAATGGCCCCATTCGCCCCCCTTTTTGGGTCTGACTACATCCTGTCAAATGATCGTTTCGGGTGCGGGTTCGAAAATTAATTAAACCTCATTTGATGCAATCTTTTAGCCCTGTTCGGTTCTGGCCATGGACCCAAATCCAGCTGCCCGGACGGCAATTAGGACGGCCCCCAAATATCAGGCCCAAAATCCTCAGGCGCCTGAAATTCCTGGCAAAGGACATACGAGGGGCAGGACATGTTACATGTTGATGGTAGTTGTGTTATGTGTGCGGTTATGTATATGGCATGACTGTCATTTGCTTTATGCACACGCCGAGGAAATATTCATGATTGCAGTTAACAAGGACAATTATGATTGATTTATGTGCGTGGCTGCCACATCCCAGGACCCTGGTCCTGGTCCTGTTTCTGGCCATTAGTGGCCGGGCAACTAAGTGTGTGGATTGCTTTACGGCCAGGTGTGATAAAAGTTATATCTCCTACATACATAGTATTATAAAAGATGCCTTAAGTGGCTCGTTAAAAAAGTGAAAAACCATTAAGATTTGACGCTGAGCTGGTGAGCCGCTAAATGAAGATTGCAAGTGTCTTGTGTTCTAACGAAAACATAACATTAAATTGGATTACATATATGAGCGCGTAAAATGTTGGCGTGGAAACTCATTTACATTTTGGACGAGTATCTCGTGGTGGCGGCGTTAAGTTTATCAACCTTTATGGCCGAAAAGTTTTGTTATTGCTTATGCAAATGAGCCAGTTAAGCTGCCAAACACGGTTTAATTACACCAAATCTCCGGAGGATATCTGCAAAAATCAACCGTTGACCCCTTGCACTCGACTCATCAGATATTTAAATATATTCACATTTATTCATCGTTGCTCCCGATCGAAGGCTGTGAATAATTTAAACCCAAATTGTTTTCAATTATTTTGCGAAAAGTTTATCGATACGGTTGCCGTTGCGTCATGCAGCATAATTAAATGGTTCTGGCAGGGGAGCAATAAAATGTCCGATTGCCATCAGGACAGGTGCAGCAAACAAAATGCCCAAACGCCAACAAACAAGTTGCCGAAAATATTTGCCCACATAATGCAATTTTAATTGCACACAATGTTATGTTTAAAGGCACAATTTTGTATAAATAAATGGCTAAAACGCTATGTAAATGTACATAAATGTATATATAATTGTTTATGTAAACAGAACAGTCATAATTTGCGGCAGGCGAATCCTTTTCGGGGCCCGCCAGCCATGTCCTTTGCCGCAATTGATGTCGTTTATCTTCTGATTTGTTGCCAAACGAACCAAAACAAATCACTTGCTTGAACGGAGCGACCGATCCGACAACTAAATTTCGGAGCAGCAGCGAAGGTCCTGGGTCCTGCCTCAAGGAGCTGCAGCTATTTTCCCCGCCCCCACCTTTGACGGCTTCCCTTAGCTGCTGTTGCGAATGAATTGTTGCCATTTTTCAGGCATCTTTGGCAAACTCGTGACGGCCGGCGTTTCGCAGCAAAGGACATGCCGGCTGGTGGAAAAAAAAGCTGGGAATTTGTGACGCCTCCATCTTGTGTTAACAATAGCAGCATGGCACGCCCCCTCCCGGTCTCCTGCTCTGGAGAACAAAAGGTACAAATGTCGCCGAAATTTATTAGCGTGCATTAACCGACACAAGGACTCGTCGGGATACACACACCATATATTAATACAAGAGCCTACGCGCATGTAGCAGCAATTGTCTCCTTTTGGCTCTGACTCTGGCTAAAGTGCACATTTGTTGTCTTCTTTATTTGGCCCTGAGAAGTTAATCAGGATTTGTGTCTCATCCTGGCACGCACTCGCTGATAAATTAATTTGTGCCCTGGCTTCCTTGACATTTTATTGAAATTTGCATAAACATAATTTCCGAAGGGCTGTCGGTAAATCCTCCAAACAAAATAAACACTACTCACAAAGTAAACTAAAACTAAACAACAAAAACTCTATTATTTCAGTACATTAACTTTGGATTTATTGTTTATGGCATTCAGGAGGGTAAGCGATAGGGTATGGGCTTAGGTACAGGCCGATTCAATGGACACGAACACATCGATGGCCCAGAGTCAAAGTTGCTGAAGAAATATTGACTGGAAAGTTGGCTAAAACTTGCCAGCACGTGAGACTTTTAAGGTAGCCGTGTCCTTGGCCAGAGTTACTTTTAACTTCTCCCCAAAGTGGGAGCCACTAATTGAAAGCGCCTTTGTCTTGGGCTCCCACATGTGGGCATCCTTCCCAGTCGCATCGCATGGCTGTCATAATATGCATTTTAAATTACGTATGCACACGCGGCGTATGCGCAATATGACGAACAGCAGCCGCCGCAAATTTCCTTGTCATATATAGACCCTCACCCACACAAAGTGGCAGTGTATATATATTATACATATACACCAGACACACGGATAGTCGACGTTCTTTATTTTATAGAGAGAAATTTTCATGAGGCAAACCCACTTGGCTTTTGTTTTCAGCCAAGTTTATGTTATACAATTTTCGTTTCCATTTCCTTCGTATGCCGTTGCCGTTTTTACCCAAAGCTCGTAAATCTTTGAGGAGCGCTGGCAAAAATGGAAAATTGCCCATTTTGTGCGAGTGTGGGTCATAAAACGGCAACAGATCAATATAACATTTATTTGTATATTCGCCATAAAAGTGTTTTCCAATCCAAGCGATCAGTGCAGAGTGTTCTAGTCTGTTCTAGTCTGGTCTAATTAATATATGTGGCTAAAAATCAAACCGGAAACAAGAGCAAAAACTTGACTAGCCTTGGAATTTATGGCCTGCAGCAGGCCGGAAGTGTCACTTGGCAACTGCAAACTAACTCTGAAGAGCCCAACTCCCCGGCATTGCCATGTGTATTTATGTAGCGATAAAATTAAATTTATTTTAACGCCGACCAAAGGTGCGAAGCCCGCCCGGCTGGTGGGTGTGGCTTGTGCACACATAGTCAAACATTATTGCCAACTTGGCGGCAAGTTCTATGTTTGAAAACTATCCCTTCTCGGCCAGGAAATCGCTGGAATCGCACAGTCCCGGCTCCGGCTCCGACCCATGCCCAAGCCCAGGCCCAGGCCGGTAAAGCACCTGCGATAAAAGTTTCTGCGCCATTTTCCACTTTCTTTATGCAGATGTGAGTGTGATTGTGATTCTGATTCCGATTGCGACTACGGCTGGGCTAGAATTTCGGGAATACGCACCAGAGTTTACCCCCGAAAGCCCCCGGAACAGTCACGGCGAGTAATGCAGCCCATAAACCAGCCGACAAATGCAATGATATTGCCAATGGTCGTCGTGGCCGTGTTTAATCTGCCGTCCGGAGTTAATATGCCTGCCGCAATGCAGTGCCAGACGGCGAACGTACTGGAGGACTGGGTGGGGTCTGGGGTTTTGGGTTTCAGAAAGCCCCTTCCTTTGCCTGCTGGGCCAGACACAAAATGTTGCAGAGAACCGATGCCACATCTGACATGGCAAGGAGTTTAAAGCACTACGCTGGGCAGCATATTAAATTTTTCAAAGAAACAATGTATTCTGTCTATTGTCATTTAAAAATCCATTAACCCAGATCCGCTTTTTTGTTAGAACATTTAAAACTAATTGATTTTGAATACATGTTAGTCAATATTTTTTTGCCGTGAAAGTTATGGCCACAAATGAAATTATGGATATATTTATTAGCAAAACAGCATCGACAGTTTTTTAACCCCAAGCCATTAAAAGCTTTCACTTTTTTGAAGCATACATAGTACGGAAAACTCCATATTTATCGGTGTGGGAAAAATGCCTGAATTATGCAACCCCCACGCCATTGAATTTTTGATTAGCTATCGCCAGCCCCACCGCCGCGCCGGATATATGATTTATGCCAACCAAAATTGTATTAATTAAAACTCTTCACAGTTCGATGGGGAGTGAGCATATTGATTTCCTTTGTTGCGATAGATGGGTGCTACTGTCGATGATTTTATGGTATCACTTATGGTTATGGTGATGAATATTCTGGCAATCCGATAAGCTGATAAAATGCTCCGATCTAATCACTACCTTATAAATAGATGCGGATTGGGCGGCCGTGTCGTAGACAGATCGCAAATGTCGGTGAAGAAGAGTGAGCCCGCGTCGCAGGATTCGCTGGTCCATCCCCAAGTGGCGACCTTTTTTCGGTTGGGCTACAAGAACCACTCCCAGTGGAGTGCCCTCGGCTCCGCTTTCTTTGTCCTCGTCTCGGGTGGCATGAGCCTGGCCTGGGGGGCAGGATTCGCCATCCATTCGTCGCACCGGGAGCAGCTGCTCCTCACTTTTCACATGCAAGTGGCCTGGTATGCCACTGCCACCCTGGGAGCCCTCTTTGGGGCATTCTTCACTCACCGACTGCCGCAACAACCGATTTACGTAAGTTTAAATTTTTTCGAGGAATTTAATAAGAAGGAATACTTTACAGATTTTCTGCTCCTGCCTGGTGATTGCTTCGGGGGTCCTGTTCCTTGCCTGGCCGGAGAGTCCGGGAACCGTGATCGCAGCCCGCTACTTGGATGGCCTCGCCAACGGTCTGGTTTTCGTGCCCGCCCTGAGCACAGCGGGCGAGATTGCAGTGGGTGGAGTCCGGGGTTTCCTGGCCGCTACCGTGGAGCAACTGAGCTCCAACACAGGAATTCTGATGCAGCTGCTCTACACAGCCGTTTGGCAGGTGGAGTGGAACGTGGCTATTGTGGCGGACCAGGTGCACGGAGTGCTCTCGATAATCTACGGGGTGGTGGCCCTAGCCATGGCCTTGGCCCTCTGCGTGGAGTCACCGGTCCACCTGCTGATGAGGGCCAACGAGCAAAGGGCAGTGGTGGCACTGCGGCACCTGCAACGGCCCTACATGGTGACCAGTGAGACCCTGTTGCGGCTGGACGAACACAAACTGTATGTGGCCACCTATCGGGAGATGGGCTGGTGGCCGAGTCTCCAAAACGGATTTCCTTCGCTGGTCAAGGTCCTGGCGCACAGACTACTCGGAAGCATGTGCCTCAACCTGGTAATATGGAGTGCACTGTGCGAAACCGCCAGCGAGGTGGTTAGCTACTTCCAGGCCTGGCCATATGTAGTGTTTGGAGTGCTGCGGTGGTGTGGCTGCCTTTGCGTGGCGCCTCTAATGGACACCACAGGACGCAAGTCCCCCACTCTCTTTGGTACATTTTCGTCGGGAACTCTCGCCTTCGCCTTTGCCTTTTTGATGGGCAGGACACCGCATATGATCGCCGCCTTGGTGGTGCTCTTCCTTCTGCAATTTTTCGCTGGTGTGGGTCAGTCCTCCTCGGCTGTCTACCTTACCGAGGCCTTTCCTCTGAGCCTGAAGCCACATTTGGTGGCAGTATCCTATGTCCTGGAGCAGCTCACACGGCTCGGACTCTGTAGCTTTTCTCCATCCAGAAGTGACATTACAGCCTATTTTCACGTCCTTGGGGGACTCTCCATGGTGTTTTTTCTCCTCGGAATTTTCTGTCTTCCGGAGACGAAGGTTATCCCATTGGCGGAGGCTCAGCAAAAGTTTTCCAAGTGGTTCAACAAGGATTTCTGATAATAAATACTTGACTAAGTTATCACGGCAATCAAATACGTTTATTGTTTTATGGTCAACAAATGGCGTTTCGCATGAAAAACAAAAATAATTAAAAAGGGGATTCCTAAAAATAAAGTTGATATTTTTCTTGGCCACTAGATACATGTAATGTCTTATCATGTTATAAATAAAGAAGATAAAACTAAAGGGTAATTCCCTAGAAAAAAATTGCCAAGGCCCAAGAACAATAGAAACATCCGATCCCCATCATGAAATTGCAATCTTTATTGATGAGATAAAATATTTTAATGGATTTCTTCCGTTGTTATTAAAAATGTTTATTTTTTGTAGAATTATTCACCAGAAAATTACAAAAATTCATTAATACCTCAAGTATTATTACCTTGAGTGCCGAAAAATATGGGGGAATACCATTATCCAAAAGTGAGTTTTATTTCCTCTGCTAATGGTTTCTAGGAATGTGCCTTGTTGAATCTTATCTAAAGAAATGATTTGGCCATCGCCTGGGAACCTTTTCTTAGAATATGAATCAGATTTAAAATGGACTTTGAATTAGTATTCTGTTAATATTAGTGGCTTAGTCATAAATCCTATAACTAGCCAGGGGAACCACAATTCTGTGGCACGCTTTTTGATGAAACCGACTAGCACTTGACCTGCAAATCAAAATCAGAGTGATCGCTAGGGGGACTTTAACTACGTACGTCTAATATTGGACAAACAATGAGATAAAAACTTTATCGGTAGAAGCCTTTTATTATTGTTGCTACTCTGTGTAATCAATTTTGCGATAAGCCACAAACTCAAGTACCAGGTTGTGCAGGCTCGATCTCGGAGAAATAAAAACCATTTTGACAGCCTTCTAGCGAACAGTTTCGAATCCACCTCGTACTGAGCAGGTTGTCCTCCAGTGGAATAATAAATAGCCGCCGCAGTATGCAGAACGACAAATTCGCGCCGCCGATCGGGTTCAGTTCCGGGCCACCGCAGCCGGGACAGCCGCAGCAAGGATATCCGGCTCAGTACTACGGACAGCCCCAGCCCCAGGTCACTCCGGCCATGAACTACGGAGGGCCACCACCAGCGCCTCCGCCACCACCATACGAGCCACCTACCAGGGTGCCACCATCGCGTGAAGGATGCTTCGCTCGCGGACGAAGGAACAGGCCGCAGGGGAATACTTTGAGCTCAGGTGAGTTGATTTTGAGTTCACTTACCTGTCCGAATTCTGGCCATGGACATAATCTTATCTGGCTGGGTTTATTCTAGGAATAACTTTAGATTTCTAGTGATGACGCCACCAATAAAAAGTGACAAGCTAGAAAAAATAATCCAACCTTAACCTTAAAATATTATGTTGTGCTAAGTGTGTTATTATCTATCAGTTTTTGATAAACTAGGCTGAAGAATATGGAATTAAAAGTGACATAGATGAAAACTAATTTAATTCATTTATCTCCACTCAGCTAGTTTCATATTTATGTCTGGAGGCCTCAACATCGCGTGGAGTATGGGATTCCGAGGACCAATAATTTACACGAGCGGCAAACACAATTACATAGCCTGGTTCATTGGTGGTATTATTGGAGCCTTGGTCAGCTGCTTCCTCACCAACAAACTGGCCAAGAAATATATCATGGTAAGTGATAACCTCTCGTCGAGGTTCTCTTCAATGAACTGAACCATTTCCAACCACCTTTTTCACAGCTTATCGCATCGGCTCTGGTCTCGATTGGAGGACTTGTGATTGCCTGCACCAAAAATAATGGAGACGCCACTGTGGCAGGATGCTACCTCGATGGCATCGCCAACGGCTTGGTATTTGCTCCATTTTTGGCCCTGGCCGGAGAGGTGTCTGTGGCCGATATGCGAGGAAAAATAGCCACCAATATGGAGCAAATCGGTTACAATACTGGAGTCTTGCTTCAAATCATCTATACCAGTACTTGGAGCTACAGCTATTATAATACCAATAATTTCACAGCCGAGAACCTGAAGGGAGTGTTCAGTGCAATATTCGGCCTTTTTGCCTTGCTGATGGGCGTATTATTGACTATCGAATCGCCGGTTCAGTTGTTGGCCAACAACGATGAACAGGGAGCCATCGACTCACTTCGTCGGCTTCAGAAGCCGGCCACTCTGACCGATGAGACCTACGATCAGTTGGCGGAGCACAAACGCTACTTGGCTCACAATAAGGACCTGTCAGTAGGACAGAGTATTTCCCAGGCCCTTCCCACCTTCGTGCGACTCGCCTATCTGAGAGCCTTGAATGCCATGAGCCTCTCCTCCTTCGTGGCCTTGACTCTGGCCTTCTCCGCTTACCTGAACTACGGGTTGTACAGCGCGGAAGGTTGGTACCTATTTTTCGCCTTCTTCCGCTTCATTGGCGCCTGCATTCCCGCCTTCGGGGTAGATTCCTTGGGGAGGAAGAAGCTTCTGCTCTTTGGCCTGCTCCTCTCATGCTCCATGGGCTTTGCCATTGGAGTCCAGTATAACTATACCCATGGTTTCCACGGAGTGACCATACTGATTGTGGTTTTCGCGTTCTTTTCCGGACTGGCATTTACTGGAACCTCTGCATATCTGTCGGAGGCTTATCCTTTGGGAGTAAAGCAGCACTTCCTCGCTTTCACCTTCATTGTGGAGATGCTTGTATTTATGATTATCACGCTAGTCGATTTCAACTTATACCATGGTGGCTCGCAATTCTTTTATGCCATTGGAAGCCTATACCTAGTTGGATTCATCGTGGGATGCGTTTCACTGCCGGAAACCCGATTGATGACTTTGCGAGGCGCCCAGGAACTTTTCAACAGAGTTAAGAACACACAGCTTAACTGATGGCCACGATAATTCCAACACCAAGGGGCCTTATTTAATATATCGATTATGTTAAGTTTTAGCGAATTTTTTGTTTGCCTCTTCAGGGAATTTGCTTTGTATATAACAAAGTTTATATATCAAAAGCTTTATATATAACGAAGTTTGAAAATTAAATTATTTAGTTTAACCCAAAATAGCTTATGAATGAAAGATTTATTCATGTGGACTGGATGGTGGAATCTGCAATGTAGATTTATATGAAGATTGGTATATAATTGGTCTACACATCGTATAAGGACGCCACTTCGGAATCGGTTATTAAGACTCTACGTACTTACAACCCATATGGGTCAGCAAGAATCGGTTTTGCCGAGAGATAACATTTATTACTTACAATAAAAAACTATCTTATATTTACGCTGGAAGCTTTCATTGGAACCAATAAAACAATTACAAAAATCGCAGAAATCGGTGGTTAGATCCTACATTTATACGGTTTCATTTCACAAGATTATTAAATGGTTTTTGGATTAGATCCAAGGGGAATCCCCTCTCATAAAGCGCAGGTGTGACGAGTTTTTATTGCAGGTCTTAAAAACATAGATAATACATTTCTGACTGGATTTCAGCAGCTAATAGTGCCAAGCCTTTTCGGTTTTTATTAGTTATTGTCGTAAAAGTCGATGTATCACACCCATGCATATAATAATGGTTGAAACGTTTTAAACGATAATGTTATATTGCTGTTGTATATATTGGTATATGCCCATAGTTTCAGCCCCAACGAATCCGATAGTGTTGACAGGTATACCCCCCAGTATGTGGGTGTAGTATATATTATTCGAAATCGTTTTGATAAGAGACCGCGTGCTTATCGCGTTGACCGTTAACACTTTATCAGTTGGACACATTATCTTTTCGGCCAAAATTGTCCTCTATTGCCGATTTCATTAGCCCAGACATTCCGTCAACCAGTTACGAGTTGATTATACGCCGTGTAGGTTGCACCACGGAAAAATAGTACTGTGTGGCCATGAAGAACAATTACGCACCACAGGAGCCAGCAGCACCTATTGGCTTTGGCTCGGCACCACCGCAACCCGAACCCTGGGCTAACCCCCATGCAGGATACGCACCACAATCGCACTTAGGATTTCCCCCACAGCCACAGTCAGGATACCAACAGACCAGATTTGCCCCACAACAAGGGTATCCGCAGCCAGGATACCCTCAGCACGGCTATCCGCCTCAGTACTATGGCGAACCACCAGGCTATGGAAGTTCTCCACCACCACCGCCACCACATCCACATCAGCCTCAGCCACAAGTGGTGGTGGTGACTAACACAGGCTGGTACAGTCGCAATCAGAGGAATAAGCCACAATCGAATGCTGTGGGAGGAGGTGAGTCATACCAGTTCAAAGTCCAAATATCAAAAAAATGTGTGGTATAACCATTTGAAACTAATGTATAACTAATTTTTAGCTGGCCTTATATTTGTATCTGGAGGAATGAACATAGCGTGGAGCATTGGATTCCATGGGAGACTCTACTTCAAGGCCTCCCAACACAATTTCCTGGCCTGGTTCATTGGTGGAATTATTGGAGCATTCGTCAGTTGTTTACTTACCAATAAAGTGCCGAAGAAGTTTATTTTGGTAAGTAACCAAAAAGACAGAAGCTTTCCTAAGACATTTACTAAACTTTCTCCCCTTTAGATTTTCAGTTCGATTCTGGTGATGATTGGTGGAATTATTTTGGCCAGTACCCGACACAATGGAAGTGCCACACTGGCCAGTTCCTATCTCGATGGCATCGGAAACGGACTCATCTTTGCCCCTTTCTTGGCTCTGGCCGGAGAGGTGTCGGTGCCCTATATGAGAGGTCTGATCTCGGCGAGCATCGAGCAGATGTGCCTCGGACTGGGCATCTTTCTGCAGATCATCTACACTTCCGCCTGGTCCGATTCCAAATACAGCTCCTTCAACAGCGAGAATTTGAAGGGAGTGCTGAGCATTATCTACGGACTATTGGCGTTGATCATTGGCTCACTTCTATGCATCGAGTCCCCGGTCATCATGTTGGCCGACAATAACGAACAGGGTGCCCTAGATGCCCTTAGAAGATTGCAGAGACCCTACACTCTGACCAACGAAACTTTCGAACAGCTAGCGGAGCACAAACGCTACTTGGCCCAGAACAAGGATATGTCGGTGGGACAGAGCGTTTGCCAGGCGATTCCCTCCTTCATCCGAGTGGTCTTTTTGCGAGTCCTGAATGTCCTGAGCATTTCCGGCTTTGTAGTCAGCAGCTTTTCATTCTTTTTTGTCAACGAGTATGGGTTTGGAGACTATTATGGCTGGTATTGTGGATTCGCCGTCAGCCGATGGATGGGCAACTTTATAGCCACTTTCTGCATGGAATCGGCGGGACGCAAGAAGCCCACTCTCTTGGGACTCCTCGTTTGCGGCGTTCTGGCTTTTGTGATGGCTGCACAGTATAATATTTTCACCTATAACACCGGCAACGCCATTATGTTGCTGGTCTTCCAGTTCTTCGCTGGAGTCGCCTTCACAGCCACGTCCCCATATCTCTCCGAGGCCTATCCACTGGGTGTGAAGCAGCATTTCATAGCATTTACCTTCATGGTCGAAATGCTCGTCTTCATTGTGATCGGTGTCTGCGACTGGAGTCGTCATGGTGGTGCCATTTACTTCTATGCCTTGGGTGGGCTCTACATATTTGGCTTTGTTCTGAGCATTTTCGTTTTGCCGGAGACCCGAAGGATGACATTGCGAGAGGCCCAGGACAAGTTCAACGGATTTATCAGCCAGGGCTTCTAACGGAATTCCCGGAAAATCATAGTATATTCTGCTTATATTTGTCAGAGATCTGAGATAATAAATATCCACAATCATACCAGCACTCTGGGCATTGTTTTTTTCCCAATCACATTTCAGTTAGTTGATAACACTGCGGGCTGTCAGAGAAATAGAAAGAGAATACGTACGAGATTAAAGTATTGAACAATAGAACAAAAATTTGTTTACATTGTGAAAGCAAACTAACAAACAAACAAAAATAGTGAGAGTGCCAAATCCGAATTGAGTTTTTCTACCTGGCCGGTAGGTACATGCAGACATATACTAACAGTTGTGTATTTTGATAGTTAAAATCGCAGTCGTACAGATAACGATAGCTATACAACAACTCGATTTTCTAAGCGTTTTACTTATCAATCAATACCCGATAAGATTAGGGTGCTGGCGATAGATAAGCCCGTAAAACGGAAACCTGTTCAACACGCTCACCTACAAGACCGCGAAGTGCAGGGTCGTCCAGTCTTGTTCGACATTTCGACCACAAAAGGTCCAAAAACTCTATGCCCGACACCGATCGACCCTCACCAGGCGATGGCTTCCATACCATTCCCATCCAAATCAACAACAACGACTACATACCGGATCGGCAGCGGGAGCTTATCCTGCAGAATACCCGCGGAGGATGTTGCAACCGGGATATGAGGAATCAGCCCCAGGCAAATGCAGTTGGAGCAGGTGAGAATTATGGAAAATTAGTGAAGTGTGTGATAATGGCAAGCCATAAAGTTAAGTTAGTAATTAAGTTTTATATTCAAATGGTTCGACCTATACCGAGTATTCCATAATGAAAAAGTGTATATTCGCTTCAACTTGTAGAATATCTTAGGCGTTCTTCATAAAAATGAATCATATTTTGTATAAACAAAGCTAGGGAAGCCGATATTATCGAACACCTGTCTTAAACTGTCAAAGATACATATGTCCATTTGTTATCAGAGTGGCATTACCTACACAGTGGAAGTTTCAGAAATTTTACCACTTAAAATTCGTTGATTTTTAATATATACTATTTTTATAGCTGCTCTGATATTTGTTTCCGGAGGACTTCACATTGCCTGGAGCATTGGTTTTGATAGTTTGGTTGCCGAATTTTTGGTCACCAACCACGTTCGTGTCTGCTGGTTTGGAGCCGCGATTATTGGAGCTCTTCTGGGAGGATTCTTCAGTCGAAAGATTTCCTATAAATACCTGATGGTAAGTATATGATTTATAGAGAGACAGTTACCACATAAAACTAATTTCTTAACTTTTTTAGGATTTCTGCTCACTGCTGACCGTGGTCAGTGGCTTGGTGATGTCTTTTACCAAATTCAACCTGAATGCCTTGCTGACGGCCAGGTATTTAAACGGTTTCGCCAACGGATTGGCCTTTGCCCCCACTCTGGCCATGTCCGGGGAACTGACGGTTTTCTACAAGAGAGGCACCACCACCTCGGCGGCGGAGCAGTGGCCCACCACTATTGGCATGTTTGTCCAGATTGTTTGCAGTGTAAGCTGGGATATGGAGAACGACTTCACCGAGGAGCAGTTCCAGGGCGTGCTGAGTGTGATTCTGGGAGTTATAGCCTTCTTTTTGGCGTGGAAAATGTCCATAGAGTCCCCTGTGGATTTATTGGAGGCAGGAGAGGAGCAAGCGGCTATCGATGCCCTGAGTCGACTTCAAAGGCCGCAGGCGGTGACGGCGGAGACCTATGACCAGGCCAGCGATCATCGCTCCTATCTCAACCACAATTCGTCCTTGGGCTGGAGCCATGCCTTCCCTGCCCTTCTGCGCTTGTCCTTGCTGAGGTTCCTGTATGGCGTCAGCAGCAGCACGATGGTGGCCTTCACCTTGTACTATACAAGTATGAGAGTGTACGGCGAAAGCTCCGGACCTTTTGTCGTCTTCGGATTCTTCCGACTAATTGGCAGCTTCTCGTGTGCCTTCGCCCTGGACACGCTGGGACGGAAGATCCCCCTGCTCCTGGGACTGGTCATTGCCGGAGGACTGTCCTTTGGCATAGCCAGTCGATTCGCAGGAAGTGCTCTGCTGCCTTTTGGGAATATGCGAATGGCCCTGTGGCTCCTGCTCATCTTCCAACTCTTCGCGGGAATCGCCTTCGCCCCGCTCTCATCCTACCTCTCGGAGGCCTTTCCTCGCAGGATCAAGCGCCAGTGCATCGCCATCAGCTATGTGGCTGAGATGGTGGCCCAGTTGTTAATCTGCCAGGTGGATCTCGGATCGGAGGTGTCTGGGGGCAATCCGATTGCTTTTTTCTTCTTCAGCTCTGGATCTTTCCTGCTGTGCGGATTCCTCACCTGCGTCTGGTTTATGCCAGAGACGAAGGACACCACTCTGCTCCAGGCGCAAATCAAGTTCCAGAAATTTGTGATCCTCCAGCCTGAAAGTAGGCCCTTCAATACTGCTCTACTCACGCCTAGGTATAGTTAACAAATAAATCTAACTTTTTAAACTCCAATTATAGCCTTGTCTTATCGCTGGGACTTCAGTGACTGGCCAGATTTTGTTTGCAGGCCAATATGCCGATCAGCATGAAGAGTTAATTGTTATTATACTTTGAGGGAATACCAAAGGTGTACAATTGCCAGATAAACTCGGGCAGTTTAAAGGTTTATTACCAAACCATAATTAAGTCAGTTCCCATACAACTGCGATAAGATTGGGACTCCCAATTTAGGAGCTCTAAAAATGTTTAATGATCTTTTATTAGAGCTTGATAAGAATTTCAAAATGTTGAATAAAATTAAGGTTTATTTTAATTAAATATATTGAAAAAGAAACAATATAAGGTAAAATAATAATTATTTATAAATAATATATCTGAACTGGTTCTGTGAACTATTTTTTCGCATCTCTATCCGCAAAAACTTTCACTTGACACGTCAATAAATTTTTATCGGCAAACTGCGAGTACTCTGTCCCATATATCTGTGGCATTTATACAACCATGTGATATCCCTCCTCTAAGTATATATTCAAATTTAATTAATTTATTTATATCCACTAATCAGGCTGATAAGGGGGCTGACACTAAAGGTTTCTGCGGTACCTTATCTTATCAAATTCGTTGGCCATTTCGAGCTGGCCGCTCAATAACCGCTCGATGCTCTACCATTTGACAAACGGCATCGGAACAGTTGGCCAGTCGCGTTTTGTTGGCCGGCGGATAGTGCGAAAAATTAACGGCCAGACTGCAAAAATAAAATGACAAATTCAAGTGGACAAACAGGCCGACGGTTCCTATGAAAAAAGTGCCAGGTAAACAATCAACAAATCAGTAAATAAACGCGGAAAAAAATAATTAAAAGCGGAAACAACGCAACAAAAGTTAAGCCCCTTGGCTGTGAAAGCGCGTTACGAGTAGACGACGAGTAGTTGTGGCCAAAATGCCGATGTTACCAACAATCGAGGAGGAGGGCAAGTTGTCCTGGATGCGTCTTATGTGGAAATACCGCCTTCAGTTCCAGTCCATGGCCTCTGGTAATAATCATCCGAAATATTTAGAGAGAAATCTGTATTAATTTGGATATCTAACAGCTTCAATTGTGTTTGTCGGATGTGGCATGCGCCTGGCCTGGTCAATTTTCGACACTCCGGCCGGAAAGTTTCTCAACAACAGCAACACCCACAATCTGATGATGAGTTGGTTCATCGGTGCTGCCCTGGGCGCCATCCTGGCCGCCCTCTTCGTCCAGCGAGTCACCAAAAATGTGGCATATGTAAGTGGCTATACATGACTATATAGCTGATTATATTTATTTATCACAATATAAATATTGACCTTTATTATAAGCTACCTACAAAACTATCCAGTTTCGATTTTGTTCCACCCACAATTAATATTGCAGGCATTAGCACTCAGCCATTAGCTCGGATTGATAAGAATCCAATAAACTGATAACGCGATTGAGTTCAACCTGCATTGGCCATTAAGTGGTGATTGGCGCTAAGAGTTAAGCGAGGGCTGATCGATGGGTTTCGGGGGTTTATTTCTCTAGTTTTTATTATTTATAGGAAAATGGAATTTCTTTCACTTTGATTAATTGTGATTCGCCATCTATCGACAGACTTCCAGTGGCTTCTTGCTCATCATGGCTGGGGTTCTGAATCTGTTCCTGCCTCAGTACTTTCTGGCCGCCTGCTACAGCAGCGTAAGTGTTGGTGCCGCTTATGGACTGACCCAGACCCAGGCCCTGGTCACGGGGTCGGAGGTGGCCCACAAGTCCATCCGTGGGATGCTGCTCAGCTGCGAGCGTGTCTTCCTCTGGCTGGGCGTGTGTGTCCAGGTCTTCTACACCCGAGTGTGGTACAATCTGAAGCCTTTGGAGACACAGGAAAATCATTTGCACATCGACCAGCTTCACGGGATGGCGATGGGTGGCCTGGGACTGGGGGCCGTGATCCTGGCCCTGGCCCACCGATTGGAGTCCCCGCTCCTTCTACTACACCAGGAGCGGGAAATGGCTGTGGGTGAAACTCTGAAGGCCCTGCACGGGCAGTCCAGCACGGAGCTAGTGCGCCTGCGGGAGGATTGCCGGCAGCTGCACAGTGCCCGGGACTGGGAGCGGTTCGTGGAGGACCCCGAGGAGACAGCAGTGGCATCCGTCACTTGGCGGAAGTGGGCCAGGCGAGTGATGCCCTTCTTCAAGGTTCTGCTGCTGCGCTGCTTTGCCACCCTGGCCGTTTCCTTGAGCTACAACCGAGCCTTCCTGGTGGTCAGCTGGCATGGACTGGAGTGCGACATGAACTGCCTGTACTGGCTGGCGTTTGCAGGACTCGTGGGCAGCGTCCTCGGAGCCTTCATAGTCGACTGGCAAGGGCGCAGGAAGCTCTGCTCCTTGTCCCTCTTCCTGGCCGGCATTGTGATCGTGATGGTGGGCGGAGTTTTTGAGCATCTAGAGTCCGTTATGAAAACCTACTACGACATCAATCTGCAGGCCATTGCCTTCCTTATGCTGCTCTTTGAGGTCATAGTCTCAGGGGGCGTGGCAGTGCCCGCCCTGATTTACACAGCCGAGGCGTTCAGCATCGCCCACAAGGCGAGGTGCCTGGCCGGCATCCTCATACTGGAGCAGCTGCTGCAGCTGGGCCTTCTCCTGGCCGTCTTCGAGCACTGCGTCACCGTATCCATATTCTTCTTTACGATCGGTGGTCTCAGCTTTATAATCGGAGTAATGGTGTTTATATTTATGCCCGAAACCAAACAGCTGACACTCTACGAGTGCCTGATCCAGTTCAAGAAAGTTCCTTGAGTGTACCTTCCATTATCTATAGCTGTGTGTTATCTATTTCTAATTGTGTGAGTGTTAATTAGTGTCCTTATCTCTACTTCATTTATTTTATAACAATTTAATTGTGCCCTCATAAAATTAATGAGTTCTTAGGCATTTATATAAGATACAAGAGCAACGTGAATTTTTATCCAACATAGTAAAATATAAGTATACTTAATATCTTAGTTGTATTACAATTTAATCTTCAATTACATTTAATTATTTTTAAAAATGTATCATTTCAGTGAATCAGGAAATACAAGAAATATGATTTAATTAAATTAAAATATATATATTCTGAGACACTACAAACAAAAAAAATTTATTTGATTACTATTTTGAATAATTTACGAAAATGCTTGTTTCAAAGTTCAAATATTTAAACATATCTTTTTAATATACATTTGTAAAATATTCTAAAATAATTAACGTATTTTTTTAACCACCCTCTACATGTCTCTACAAAACTTCTCCCGAATCCAAAGGAAAGGACCTTTTAATTCTGGTTTCTTTCTCAGATAAAGCTCAGTAAAGCTATTATTCTTGAGCTTTTCCCGCCATAATTTCCGCCAAACTGTTACCATTATTTAACTTCCAAAGCTTTCCTGAAAACAACCATTTGATAGTCTACGTAAACAAAGTATTTTTTACGTTTATTTCACTCTAGCCGGCAAAGTAAAAGCTCCAGGAGTCCCATTCATAATGTTTCCTCCCATAGTTTTGTGGCGGATTTGCCTTTTTACGCATCCCAGGCACTTTTCAAATTTAATGCGGATTTTAGGGCGCAGGAAGAGAAAAAAAAGGGAAACGGCGTTGATTAATATGGCGTATGATGAATATGCATGGCCACCAAGAAGTGGCCCAAATCAAGACGAGGTCCTGAAGCCGAGGTCAGGGAAAATCCGGCCAATCCCCCAGCTGGCCATCTAATGATGTGGAAAATTCGTTTGGCTCCTCATAGCCGAAATCCAGCTACTTATTGATATGCAATTTTTATGTTCGACATTCTGCTTAGCCAGACAAAAGCACTCCAGCCAATGCCCAAAAGTGGCTGCTCCTTTCCTCCTGATATCCCCACGACTATGTGTATGTTCCATATATGTATGTATAAATAGAATATAGTATGTTTTGGGAGCGTCGGGGATATGTGTGGCCAGGATGTTGCGGTTTCTTTGGCGCTCGATTGTAAACGGTTCGAGTATTTGGCCGCAATTAGCAATTCCGGCCAGCACTTGCCACTCGGCCAACTCGATAACATGCGGTCAACAACCCAACAGCACGAGCCTCTCAGCCAAATAAAATTCAGTTTAAACTTTAAAGTATTTTAATATTTAATTGACTTAATTACTGACGGCATGAAATTTCTTTGTTTATGCAGCAGCAAAAACTGGAGTTATTTGGCCTAAAAAAAAGAGTTATTTGTTGCGGGAAAAATTACGCAACCCAATTAAGAAAAGCCATGGGGATCGTATTGGATCCCCGTGATCCAATTTAAGGGTTTCATATACCAGCCACGATTTTAAACTACTTATCCTAGACGTTTCTGGGAGGAACCTGATGCTCGTATTGCCAAACCAAAAGCTCTCGGCTTATCCAGCTAGAAGCTGTAACATTTTCCGTATTTTCTGTGCAAAGGGAATACATTAGAAGAGCCAGAGCTGCTGGGCTCAAAGGCAAAGAGCTGCGAACAAACAAAAAAAAAAAGAAAATGATGGAAAAACGATGCCAGAAGGACAAACAAGAACTTGACTAAAAATTTTCCACATGTGAGATGTGAGAATTGCAGGTCCCTTTGGCAGGAAGCTTAATGTGATGGGGCTGCCCTTGTTTCAATTAACTGAAATTGAAAACGACAATCGTAAACATTAACAGCAATGGGAATCCCCGTTGAGTGGCAGAAGCTGGAGCTGGAGCAGGTTCTGGAACAGGACTTGGAAACAACAATTGCAATGCAAATAGCTTTGGTGCAGCGTATGGAAAACACGTTGACGAGTAAAAGTCAAGGAAAAGCATTCTCCGCAGGCCAAAGAAAGCAGGTTAAGAAAGAGACAGACATTCAAAAAGAGAAAGAGAGAGAAAGAACGAACGAGAAAGCCGGCATCGTAAATGAAAAAAGCAAACAAACGTAAAATTTTATTTGTGCGCAATTTTCTATAAATTTTCATCGATTGCCATTGGGATATTGGCGACATTTGCGTTTGGCATTTTGCTGCGTCCTTCAAACACACACACACACTCACACACATCCTGTATATCGGGATCCTGGGAGCTCCTTGGACTGCCATAACTTTGGCTGCACTTGGAATTATGTTTTGTTGCTGCCACCAACGCCGCCGTCGCCGTCGCCATCGCCTCACACGAAATTGAAAAGTATATATAATGCTGTATGTTACAAGTTTCCAATCAACAGCGAATGAAGTTTCCATAATGGCAAATAAATTATGTTCTGCTCTCCGGCGGTAACGGAAGTGGTAACGGAAACCCCGGTGGTTGCCACCAGAAAACCCCGGTAAGAAGCATCAAATTAATGTCTCAGCGTGCCGCAAAATGGCAAAATGGCCGACGTGGCGCAATTTATGGCCAACGAAAGACAACTCTAAAGTGGCCCAGTGGCCAAGTGGCCAAAGTAACCAAGTGGCTCCAGTTTCTCCCCCCCTATTCCAGCGCGGTGTGACAATAAAATGGAGTCAAATGGCCATAAAAGCGAACCCAAATCCAAGACCACAAAGAGAATATTCCTTCGGCCGTCCATGTCGCATATACAATGGCATATAAAAGTGAAATAATAAATAAGACCGTAAAGAATTCAAAACCGAGACCAAACCCTTAACGGGTTGGGATCATAAACCGACAAAGTACGGGCCAATTCAATAAGCCAACTCCAATCAATCGCTTTGCAGGCCAAAACTCAAACTTTAAGCTTAAGACTTGCGTTTTTTTTTTTATTTTTTGTTGAAATTTCAAAAAACCTGACAAATTAATTGGAAATTACAGCCAGCAACTGACACTGCGACTACAGAGTTAAATAGGAGATTCTCGCTGGGGTTTTTGTTTTCTGTGTCTGGGCTGTCAGAAAGTAAATTGACACGTTTTCATTTCATTTGTTGCTCCAGCTACGAGTTTTGCTCTTTGAGTTTCAGTTCTGGGTTGGCAGTTGCCGAAAATAAACGCTACGCTGCGAAACTTTTCCCTAACAAGCCTATAAAGTTTTCCTTGCCTTTCGGCTGGAACTTTTCCTTAAATTGAAAGGGCACCGGCACAGTTGAAGCCCCAAAAAACCCCAAATGCAACGGACTTGGCCAGGCTCCACCCAGAAAACTTGATCAAAAATTAAAGGGCACCATGCAGATTGACTGGCGTACAGAGTGCATTAAATTTAATTAGCTCACATAAATCTTGGGGGCTTGGATTCAGGATTCTAAATTTTAGATTCTGGATTCTGCATGCTGGCTCCCGGGTTTGAATTTGGTTCAGCCGGACGCAGAAATCACTGGAGCTGACATTTTTAATGCCAACGGAAGGAGAAATGCAGTCTATACACATTTTTTTTTATATCCTTTTTGCTATTTTCCCCAACAGTCCTGGGCTTTCATGACTTATGCAAGTTTTGACGACAGGTGCACGCGTCTGCAACTCGGTTTCCATGTGCCTTCGTGTTAAATCAACTGTCGCTTCCTCTCGGCAAAGTTTGTCCTGCGATCCCGGCCAGGACTACGGATAGTCTGTGGAATTCAAGTTATGATAGCTGCATGCGTTTCAACAATTTACTTAACAGCTAACTGCGCTGAAAATGTCACAAGGGAAAATAAATCGAGTGCGCGTGCAAGAGTGCGGGAGCCAGAATGAAAAGTTTTCCTCTGGCGATATTCCTCTGGCGATGCCAATATTTGCAGCAACAGAAATCCTTACACCCACAAATTTAATTTGATTCAATACCAGAAGTTACAGATTCAGTATCAGAATCGAAAAAATCGATTGAAATCCATTTCCCACTTATAATATCATAATATTTATTAGCTTTCGAGTACAGCCTTACAAGTATGCCATTACAAAAAACCGATCGAAAACTTTCAGGAAAAAATTCCTATAAAAACTGTCAATGGACCTTTAAGCCAAAGTTTCATTAACACCAGACACATGAGACATAAAAATAAAAAACCCGAATGGCACAATCGAATGGCGGCGTAAACAATTTTTTTCCAAATCAATAACGCACTTTAAGCTTGGTCGGGACAGTTTTTATCTTGGGGTTTCGCAACTGTTGCTAATTAAATTCCCTTTTTTTAAAAGATTAATAAAAAAAAAAAAAAAAGAAGGAAATTGGAAATTGAATGGGAAAGCGTCAGAGACTGTTGCTTCCTTCCTTGTTTTCGCATTTTTTTTTGTGGACTGTGTCATTTATGCCATGCAATTAACGCCATTAAAAATCTGTGAGCGCTAATTAACTGCGGCATATATTTATGTGCTTTGCATGAGTGACTTGTGCATTATTAATGGTTGATTTTTCATAAATTTTCGTTCTTTGTTTGCCATTTGCACTCGTGGTCGAACGGATCGATCCAATCAGCTCCTTTGAGCTCCTTTAAAAAGGATTTCATTTGCACGGGAGTGGAACGGAAAACACAAAACAATTCACTTCCGTTTTTTGTTCAGCAAAGTTCCTCCAGAACGCCCCCGATTCCGATTCCGACCACGCCTCCCCCTGTGAAATGAGGTTGAGGAAGTTCTGATAATGTCTGGCACCAGACCATTGACAACTCAGCTGCAACTGCAACCGGTAACCTAAGACCTTAGCAACCTTTAAAATAAGGATGCACTTGGAACAAATTGTTAAATGATACCCCTTTATTTTTTTTACAAGAAATGGAATATGTGGAGAGCTCAACTATGCAATACCCAGTACTCCAGTAAACAAAAAAGCATATTAGTAAATTTTCTATGTGGTTTTTATGACTTTGCTCATTTAATCTTTTAATGAAATAATCCCTAATTAGTTATGCCAATTAACTCTGCTTAGTAATCTAATTAAAAATAATAATTTTCAAATATAAAGCATATTTTTTCTCTCTGTAGCGGCAACAGCTCCGTGTCTTCTCACCGTTATTTGACTTAACTGACAGCGGAAATGTCGCTTCGGTGGGCGGTGGTTCGGTTTTTCACCAACTCGCTTTCCTTTTCCACGA